CCAAACGCTGGTTAAGGGAATCCTCTCTGGCATGTCCTACCTGCCCGATGTCACGCAGCTTACGCTGCACAGGAAGTCCGAAGTCCGCAGCCGAGAGCGGAATAAGGAGTCAACCATCGCCAAGGATGTCGTTTCAGCCGCTTCACAGGAATTGCAGCGTTGTGTGGAGCTTGCTTCGCTGAAGGGGGCCTCCAATTGGCTCACCTGCCGGCCACTGAAAGTCCACGGCTTTTCCCTCAGCAAGGCTGGCTTTTGCGACGCCATCCATGTTCGCTATGGCTGGGTCCCCCCAATGCTGCCGTCCGCCTGCGTCTGTGGTCAGGCATTCAGCACCGCGCATGCCCTGCCGTGCCCTATTGGAGGGTATCCGTCACTCCGGCATAACGAGCTGCGAGACATCACCGCCTCACTGCTTTCACGCGTCGCACATGACGTAAGTGTGGAGCCGTCTCTCCAGCCACTTTCCGGGGAACAGATGAGGTATCGTACTGCAATCAGCAAGGATGGCGCCCGCCTAGATGTTGCTGCCAGCGGGGTGTGGGGCGGCCGTTTCGAGAGGACCTTCTTTGATGTCCGTGTATTTAACCCTTTTGTCCGATCGAACACCGCTCCCTCCCTCAACAGCACGTTCACTAAGCACGAGAAGGAGAAACGGCGACATTATGAAGAGCGTGTTAGGGAAGTAGAGAAGGCATCGTTCGTCCCCTTGGTGTTTTGTGCCTCCGGTGGTCAAGGCAAGGCTGCCTCTGCTTTCCTCAAGCGCATTGCATCAATGCTGGCCGAGAAGCGGAAGGAATCGTTCTCCATGGTGATGGCTCACCTCCGTTGCCGCCTAGGGTTTGCCCTCATCAGATCGGCGATTGCAAGCTTAAGAGGTCATCGATCCAGGCGAGCACCTTTGGATCAGCAGCTGGAGTGCCCCTCAGTTCTAGTGAATGCTGAGTGACGTCTGGGTTAACCCTCACCTGTTATATGGCTGTATTGTTTTCGCTATTAGTTAGTTTTCTTTGTTATGATTTCTTTTTCTCTTTTTCTTTTTACCAGGCGTGGGCCATTCCCTGAATTCAAAGGTGCCAAACATTCTTTTTTCTTTAGTTTTCTTTGTTATGATTTCTTTTTTTCTTTTTCTTTTTACCAGGCGTGGGTCATCCTGAATTCATAGGTGCCAAACATTCTTTTTTCTTTCTTTTTCTTTTTACCAGGCGTGGGCCATCCCCTGAATTCATAGGTGCCAACTCTAAAAAATTATATTGCGGTGATGAGTTCAAAAAGAACGAAACAGCATGCTGTCCGCAGATTGAGTATCGCGCTCCTGCTCTTGTAGCAGTTGAGCACTCTTGCGTGGGGTAGTGCCTTTGCTGTTTGCGTTATACAGAGCTCACTGACTTGTCAGTTTGAGCACTCTGGCAAGGTACGTTCGGGCCTGATTGGAAATTTTTTTTCCATTGCTATCAGGTTCGGCCTCATTTCCTCTGTGCTGCGCTGATGAGTTCAAAAAGAACGAAACAGCATGCTGTCCGCAGATTGAGTATTTCGCTCCTGCTCTTGTAGCAGTTGAGCACTCTTGCGTGGGGTAGTGCCTTTGCTGTTTGCGTTATGCAGAGCTCACTGACTTGTCAGTTTGAGCACTCTGGCAAGGTACGTTCGGGCCTGATTGGAAATTTTTATTTCAATTGCTATCAGGTTCGGCCTCATTTCCTCTGTGCTGCGCTGGTGAGTTCAAAAAGAACGAAACAGCATGCTGCCCGCAGATTGAGTATTTCGCTCCTGCTCTTGTAGCAGTTGAGCACTCTTGCGTGGGGTAGTGCCTTTGCTGTTTGCGTTATGCAGAGCTCACTGACTTGTCAGTTTGAGCACTCTGGCAAGGTACGTTCGGGCCTGATTGGAAATTTTTATTTCCATCGCTATCAGGTTCGGCCTCATTTCCTCTGTGCTGCGCTGATGAGTTCAAAAAGAACGAAACAGCATGCTGTCCGCAGATTGAGTATTGCAATAATTATCATGTGACGAAGTAAAAAAAAAATACCGGTACCACACCGTCTCTCGTACCGTACCGTACCGTACCATCAAACACAGCTGGCCACATACACAGGCGATGCGCCGTTTTGCGAAAAGTCGACGTTTAGAGGTAGTTTTATTATCCCAAATGCCAAAGCGCGGGAAAATTCAAATGCAAACAGCTGCATTTTGGAGACGTATTTTTTATCGACAGTCGGGCAGTCAATGCCAATTTTCTCAAGAAGAAGAGTATTCAGAGGCATTGTTGTGCATTTTCCGTTGATACTATACGTGTGCCCTAGTGTTTGCATGAGCGAGGGTGGTGGTTTTGCTAAACCGTTCGCATGGCGGGCGGGTTTGTAAGAAGAAAGGCTTCAGCCATTGACGAGCGATGAGAAACCTGTCATTTCGTGCCATTTGAGTTAGCAGTAGCACCGGACAATACTGACACATGTCTGCGGCAGCAAACATAGTGTACTAACGGATCAAAAACAGCCACAATGTGTGTCACTGCGGAAACGGGCTGTAGAGGTGCATTTGCAAAGCTGCTGATTTTCATCGTCTTTCCATGCACAGGGTACGTATCAGGCCCTTGGCATAGGCCAAAGCACGAAAGCTTTAGCTGGACACCACCCACAATCTCCACGTGGGTCCCAGTGTACCTGCTGCTGCCGATGAGAACCGCCCTATAAGCGGTTTACCCACCCATGTGTCCTCAATACGACTGAGAATACATCAGAAGTACGCCATAAGCATTGGAAACCTGTACAGTTGAATCCAATTTCGACCAGAATGACTGTATTGGTTGGAAATGCATTGCACCATTCCACTGAAACGTTAACCCACAAGAACAGGAAAAGGATGTAACAGAAAACAAAAGAATGTAACACAAAAGATAATCCCAAACCAGCGGAAAAAAAGAACGTGGGAAGAAAAGCACTGTGGCTGGTGTAGGAAGCAAATACTGCAAATACTAGGCTAAACAGGAAGTACCAAATTATGTGGTTGTTGAGCATCTCCTCAGAGTCGACAAAGGGATAACGGAATGAGAGAGACCGACTATTTTTTGTCAAAACTGTCACAAGCCAGCAGCTGGTGATTGTTGAGGAAGGTAGTTACACCACACTGACCGACACCACTGCTGTGGGTAATGATTACGTGCATCGATCATTGTGCAGCACCTGGCAGCAATAAACCAGACAAAGCAGTACAATACCATGCAGAAGATGAAATGCTTGACGGAGTATAAGTAGTAGCAGACAAACTGTTACACAATGAAGCAACATTATTTGCTATTAAAATGGCATAAATATATTATTACTTTGACGAATACCCGACACATAACATTCCCGCTACAAGCATTACTAACTCGACTGTCCCTGATGCAGGAGGGACTAGTGGCACACATTCCTACTGCATACCCCAAAGCTAAGAAAGGTGGCATCATGCTCATGTGAGCCGTTTGGGTACCACCCAAGCTCTGCACCAGGCTCTGTCCAGGTGCCTACACACAACCCTGGAGGATGAATGCAACCCCAAAACACGATGTAGTAAAGGGCAAGTCTATGGACACAGCTGTCAAAGTTATCCACCAAATTGACCTACAGCAGGCCAATGTACAGTGGAGGAGAGTACCGAGAAACTAAGAATAAAGGACTTATTGCTTGTTTGTCAGACGATCCACCCCA